AGAAAGAAAGAAATAGAAAGAAAGAAAAACAGTTTCCTAGGGGGCTATCTTCAATAAATAAAAAAGAAGCAAGAAAAGTGAATTTTAAGAATGGATTTTGGCTGGGCGCAGTGGCTCACTCCTGTAATCCCAGCACTTTGGGAAGCCGAGGCAGGTGGATCTCTTGAGCCCAGGAGTTTGAGACCAGCCTGGCCAACATGGCAAAACCTCATCTCTACAAAAATACAAAAGTTAGCCAGGCTTAGTGACACACATCTGTAGTCCCCGATACTCAGGAAGCTGAGGTAAGTGGATCGCTTCAGCCCAGGAGATCAAGGCTGAAGTGAGTGATGATCATGCTACACTGCACTGCAGCTTGGGCAAGAGGGTGACCCTGTCTCAAAAAAAAAAAAAAAGAAAAGAAAAGAAAAGAAAAAAAAGGAAAAGGAAAAGGGAAAAAGGAAAAGAAAAGGAAGAGATTATATTTGTATATATCCCAAAATATACAAAGTGTTGTCATTTGCACAGTCGTCAATATAAAACAATTATTAATGAGCTATCAGACACTCTCTTTTCATAATGAGTCCCTTTGGAGTAGCCGTATTTCAAGGGCTCGGCAGTCACACAGGGCCATCAGGAATTTGTTTGCAAGAATTAGGGAGAGTGTGTGCGCGTGTGTGTGTGTGCGCGTGTGTGTGAATACACTCAGCACAACCGTTATCTATAACTGCAAGATTGGAAAACACAACAAAAAGAGAAACAGGAAGCTTGCACTTTTCGCGTGTGTGTGTGTGTGTGTCTGTGTGTATTTTAGAGTCAGAGCCTTGCTCTGTCACCCAGGCTACAGTTCAGTGGCATGACCATGGCTCACTGCAGTCTTGAACTCCTGGCTTCAAGCACTCCTCCCACCTCAGCCTCCAGAGTAGCTGGAACTACAGCACACCACCACGCCTGGCTAATTTTATTTTTTGTAGAGATGGGGTCTTGCTATGTTGCCCAGGCTGGCCTCAAACTCCTGGGCTCAAGTGATCCTCCTTCCTTGGCCTCCCAAAGTGCAGGGACTGCAGGCGTGAGCCATCATGCACGACGAAGCTGACACTTTTCTAAGTCGTTGTGGATAACCACGGGTGAAATTCTTGTAAAAATGAAGATTCATATACCCACCCATTTAAAGTGTACAACTCAATGGCTGTTAGTTCATTCACAGAGTTGTGTGACCAACACCACGACTGATTTTAAAACATTTTCATCACCTCAAAAAGAAATCCCACACTGCTTAGCCATCACCCTCCAACCCTCTAATTTCCCCCTAGCCCCTGGCAACCACTAATCTGCTTTCTGTCTCTATGGACTTCCCCATTCTGGACATTTCATGTCAATGGAGTCATACAATATGTGTTCCTTTGTGTCCGGCTTGTTTCACTCAGCATCCTGTGTTCAGTGTTGTGTGGCATGTGTCATCCAATGCTCTGTTCCATTTATTTAGAGACAGAGTCTCACTCTGTCACCCAGGCTGGAGTGCAGTGGCACAATCTCAGCTCACTGCAACCTCCACCTCCTGAGTTCAAGGAGTTCTCCGAGTTCTCCTGCCTCAGCCTCCCGAGTAGCTAGGATTACAGGCACCCACCGACACACCCAGCTAATTTTGTATTTTTAGTAGAGACAGGGTTTCACCATGTTGGCCAGGCTGGTCTCAAACTCCTGACCTCAGGTGATCTGCCCATCTTGGTCTC